CAGCCATAACACCGTCACGCGGTGCCCACAACAACTTATATCAAATGGTAAAAAAGCGTACACTAGAAGCACGCACTAAATTGCAGCATAACAAATTTCCCAATAATCAAGCATGTGAAGAACCATTAAAGAAACATTCATCTGCATGCAATGATCAAAGCGAAAGCACAACGTGCTCATCTCCATCTTTCGGTTCCTCCGCCAAGCGACAATCATCGCAATCCTTATCATCCACACCCTCATCCACTTTCTGCAAACCTCAAAATGAAAAAAACTGCAAATGATTCTTGTCCACCTAAACCAGTGAAACCGGATAAAACGGTCAAATTAATATTTCAAAATATTTCTTTTCCAGCGAATTGAAATTGTTAATTGTATTTTCTTTTATTTCATTGTTTTATTTATTTTACTTACTACAGACAAAAATCTGTCCAAAAAATACAGAATTACTTCAAGCGAGAGACTGCGATGTAAGTAAAAGAAAAAAAGGAACTTGTGATAAAAAAACCATGTGACGGTGGCGGCGATGGTGCTGAAGGTGGCGGCGATGGCGCAGGTGGTCGTGGTGGTGCGCGTGGTTCAGACCTGGGTAATGATGAAGAAGCAACCGGAAAAACCAAAATGCTGCTAGCTATGCTAACCGCCCTAGGACTCGGTGGTCTGGTATGAAAAAAAAAATCGCATGTGGAAGACATATCATTAACATTAAATAATTTTATATTTAAATAGCTTCTATGGTTATTGACGAGACGAACTCGTAAGAGTAGCGAGAGCACAGAATGTGGGCCAGTTTCCAAGAGTTTAACAACGGGTAAAGTTGGTGCTCATTTAGTGTTTACCATATATCATCTTTTATTTTAATGTTTCTAGTTCCTGCGAGTTCAGCTGACTTGCCAAAACATGTACCATATTTGTTAATCGGTGGTGGAACTGCATCTTTCTCAGCATTCCGTGCGATAAAGTCCAATGATCCGCCCGCAAAGGTGTGTTGTAGTTTATTTACTATTTGATTAGTATTAAAAATATATTTAAACCCTTTACTTTTCAGGTACTAATGATCACAAATGAAATGAATAAGCCTTATATGCGTCCACCACTTTCGAAAGAACTTTGGTATTCGGCAGAAAAAGGTGAAATTACAAAAGACTATCGTTTCAAACAGTGGACCGGCGCTGAGAGAAGGTAATTATTGCAAGACAGTAGGGGCTTTCACGCGATAGTCGACCCTACGTAACTAGAAAATACTATATACTATATGTACATAAAAGACTTTCTGGAGACATGACAATCGGAAACTGAAATTTTTATAACAATACATTTAAGATAATCGAAATTTTTGCTTCGATTGGGGATAGCAACCTTACTTCAGTTGGGTTGCCAGTGAAATGGTATTACTGATGGCAACTACCAGCTGAAAGCCGGCAACTGATTTGCTATATTGGTAACTGCATTTTTGTGGGGACTGGGAAAATTTTGATTAAGATTATTTTTTCAACCGTTTCTTCAGCTAGTTTTCACTGAGGTTGCGTTGCAATCTATAATTTAACCATTTATTTCACGTCATGAAAATGTTATTTTATATGCTTCTAGCCTCTTCTTCGAACCCGAAGAATTTTTCGTTGACCCCACAAAGCTAATGGAAACTGTAAATGGAGGCATTGCTGTGGCGCAAGGTTTCACTGTCAGAAAAATTGATCCCGTCAAACATATAGCAACACTATCCGATGGTTATGAAATCAGCTATGACGAATGTTTGATAGCGACAGGTATGTAATGCGAAATCAACGTACATACACTCACATTCACATAAATATAATTATATTAATATTTGCAGGCTGTAAACCGAAAAATCTCGATGTCTTTGAACACGCATCACCCAGTGTAAGAGAGAAGGTTATGATGTATCGTACTCCCGATGATTTTGACCGTTTGAAACGTTATGCCGATGAAAAGAAATCCATTACAATTGTGGGGAATGGCTTCACAGGCAGCGAGTTGGCCTGCTCATTGGCGAATTATGCCAAAGATAAAAAAGTGAAAATATATCAAATATTTGGAGAAGCTGGAAATATGTCAAAAGTGTTACCCGATTACCTAAGTAAATGGACCACTGCAAAGGTGGAGTCAATGGGGGTATGCGTTATGCCAGATACTGTTGTCAAAGAAGTGCAACGCGATGAAACAGTTCTCAAGTTGGCGCTCAGTAATGGAAAGAGTCTTTTAACTGATGTCGTGAGTGTTAGCAATCAGTTGTTTGAATGAATTGAAAATATTCACAAATAAAATGTTTTGGTTTTTCTTTTCTCTTAGGTTGTTGTGTGCGTGGGTTGCGAACCAAATACAACTTTGGCGACAACTTCCGGCTTAGAGATCGATAAGAGTTTTGGCGGTTTTGTAGTTAATGCTGAATTAGAGGCTAGGCGAAATTTGTTTGTGGTAAGACCGTGACTATGATGTTTTTATAATGAGATGTGATTTTATTGTTATATCTTAAAGGCTGGTGATGTGTCCTGCTTTTACGATCCGTTACTTGGACGACGACGCGTCGAACATCACGATCATTCTGTGGTATCGGGCAGATTAGCGGGTGAAAACATGGTTGGAAAAAGTGAGTAATTTATATGACATTAATATTGATTTCAGAACGCATGATCCACTTGCACAAGATCTGACAAGATGAATCGAAAGAAAAAAGTTATTTTCTGGCTGATGTTTGTAATTTCAGCGCCATGTTAATCTCTCTGAAATGAACCAAAATTAAACGAAAGAATACGAAGACAAATCATAAAGAAAAAATAAAACGTACATGTTTTTGCATCCGAATATCGCGCACTTCATTTTAATTAAATTTGAATAAATAATTAATTGAAAATCGCTTCAAAATCACTGAAATTAACCACCCTAAAAATGCACATAAAGAAATAAATGTAAACCACAAAACAGAAACAATAAGCATCAAAATTGCGAACGTCACATACTTTTGTCTTTAATTCTATTGCAAATGGCTGCTAACCGGCCAGATCTGTATAATTGGTTCATGATCAGAACGTAGCAGAACAAAACCTTTACCGGAAACAAAATCTTTTGCAGAACTCAGAACTGCCTATATGTAGTCAGAAAGACACAATAGTAATGGCATTGTCATAATACTTAAATATTTGATGCTTGAATTTTTGCTAAGTGGTTGTGCAAAGTTCTTCCATTTGTGTTTGATTTAATCACACAGATGAGGGGAGGCTGCATTTTCATACCGTGTCCGTTCGCCAAATAGTTATTATGAGAAGCTTTCAAATTGCAGAAGTACACTCACAGGTTTGACATTGCCTGGTGTCCTGAAACTCACAAATTCAACAATGGTCCCACATTTGTTTATAATTTTTGTACATGGCGACGTATAAACTACAAAACCGCGTATATTAGATTTGCTCACACAAGCTCTTGGCTGAATCCTTATCCATTCGTCCTGAGATATACTAGCTAGAAATGCGATTGCTTTATAAAAAAGAGAATCATTTTGAAATGAGTGCTTTTACTCTCTAGAAAATAATTTATGCACCTCACATACGCGGTTTTGCATTTTGTTGATAAGCGGTGTTGTACTTTAAACGACGATATGTATCTTTAATTTGTATTTGTCTATTAATCAATATTTTTATCCCTTACAGAAAAGGCCTATGCGCATCAGAGTATGTTTTGGTCTGACTTGGGTCCAGAAGTCGGTTACGAAGGCATCGGCCTTGTTGATGCTTCCTTGCCCACTGTTGGTGTTTTTGCACTACCAACACCAAATCCAGAAGGTCGCACTGATAATTTAGCCCAAACAGCAGGCGAGAGTGGCGGCAGTGGGGGTACAGTAACAGTGAACACGGAAGCACCGGACGTTAAGTGTGATCCGAAAGATGCTGAAGATTATGGGCGTGGGGTTATTTTCTATATGAAAGATGAAAAGATAGTGGGTATTTTATTGTGGAACCTCTTCAATCGTATTGGTTTGGCGCGGACAATTATCAATCAGAATAAGAAATATGACGATTTAAATGAAGTTGCGAAACTCTTCGAAATCCATGCGTAGTTCCGAAAAAAGCGTAGATACAAATCTGTAATGTTTAATAGTAATTTGGTTAGGTAAAAATGTTTGTTACCGTTAGTTGAATTACACGTGTAAATTTGCATTTGGATTAGAACACGCGCCAACACTCAAGTCCCTGGCATCCACTATAGAGCTGAAAATAATTTACGTCTGTTGCAATTGAAATTGATTATTATGCTCTGGTTGGGTGCCACTGCCACTGAGAAGAGGAGGAAGAAATTCTAATGCAGAATCGGTATAATTTCACAAATTGTCTAGCATTTAAGCTTTATTTTAACAAAGCGGTAGCATGTTAATTGAAGAATGCTTTCACGAAGTCTTAACTAAAACCAAATAAATACTTACATATTATCCATTTTTAAATATATAAGATCGCTATTATTTAATCCTTAAGATATTAACGGGAATTTGTTGAGCGCTTGAAAAAAAAATAAACGATACACAGTAAAATAAGAAATTTTAATTAATAAATTGTTAAGGACTATTTTTACTGTGCCAGTAAATTCTTGTCCGCCAATTAACTCTATTTTTGTACTGAAAATCGACAGGTCAAAAAGATCCTGAGTAAATGACCTTAAATAGTAGTTGAGAATACACTTGGTGGACATAAATGTCCAATGCATTGCCCAGCTCCAATTATCGAACCGATACCTGCATTGCAGTCTTTTGGCGAACACAACTAGCCCCTCAGGAAACATGCCCCAAGCTAGCTAGATCGTCGTGGTGGGCTTTATGATCTGGCGACTTAAAGGCCAATAGCTAAGTCAGCATTTGCTAAGAGGCCGTATTGTAACTCACGCTAAGACACAAAATAAAGCCGCCATCATAGTTTGATGCCCAAAAACTTGAGCACGGAAAAATGTCGTGGGGCATGAGCTGCGTCTATCTCCGGCTGAAGAAAATGCATCCTAAGGATGATAATCAAAACAAAGAGTTAACACTGCAAATGTCTGACGGTAGCTCTCGCAAGGATGGATTTGTATTTACGCATCCTCTGGGTAGCGACCAAACCCCCGTTTGGGCGCGAGCTAAAGTGAGAAGGCGTAAAACCTCGCATGCACTGGGTTTGGGTCCCGCCCAATGGAAAAGAAAAAAA